TTGGCTAATTCATTTTTAGAGAGTAAGATGTCTTTTAGCTCGTCAATTGTCATTGTATCATTATTGTAGACCTTGTTTTTAACTAAACCCAAAAGAAAAAAATCCAACATATTTATCGCACGATCTTGCCGGCCATACCATGTCAAGAAATGACACGGTCAAAATGTTATTTAAAATTTTGCAAAGAGAATCTGGACACATTTAGCCAAAATTATTTTTATAAAATTTACATGTGTCTTTATGTTTTAAATTAAGTCGTTTTTTTAATACACACACTGTCTCATTTGGGATAAAGACTGCCAGATGTATCAAGTTAACTTCGGTTTCACGAAAGGATCGAACGGTCGATTTGCAAGGGTTCAAAAAATCGATTAAAACTTTTTTACCTTATTTCTACATCTAAATGCAGTACTTTTTTCTAAAAAAAAATCTCGTCATTGGCAACTTTGTTTTTATTTTTATTTTTTTCTTCACTGTGTTAAAAATTAAGAATTTTTTTTAATAACTTTATTTCAAAACCTATCGATTTGAAATTTAGACAAAATGTAGATCTTACTAATGACAATGAATCCATAAAAAAATTTGTTCAGATTTAAACGTACTGGGGGCGCTGGTGATAATTTAATTTAAAATTTAACAATTTTTAAAGGGTAAATAATCGAAGAAGCAACTTTATTTATAAATTTGAGTATAACACGTTAAAGTTTTGATATTTGACTATTATTTGATATATTAACTTTTTTATGCAAATGTTTCTATGGCCAGGACCAGTTTTGAATTAGCAGTAGCAGTATTCATAAATGTTTAGTTTAGTACATTTTGTCATTTTTATACAGATATTGTTGTATCTTTTATTAATAATTAAGTTTAGCATAACACATAAATGACGTTTAATATACAGGATGTTTCACGTACGTATTCCGTTAGAATTCGATTTAGACTTCCTAAATTATTTTGAACTAAATAATACTTCCTGTTTTACCGAAAATGTCTTTAGCTTTGTTATTTTAAATAGGGCACCTCATATATTTTTACATTTTTGAATTCTACATAAAATTCTGGATAAAACGGCTATAACATATCCTATACCTAAAGTCAATATTTTTGCAGTTAATTTTTCAATCAAATATTTTAATTAATTTTAAACAACAGTGATAACAGTGGTAACCATGGATACTGTCACATTAACCCACATGTAGAATTTCACAGGTTTGTTGATACAAAATAGTATTGAAAATATTAGAAATTGTTAAATGTTAAATTTTAACTTTAGGAAACAGTTATTATAATACCAATCGAAAGAGTCTTTAATATGATTACTATTTTTTAATCAATAAATATTCAGTTATATCGGTTAAGGTGAAGAGTACACTGTACAAGAGTAACAATGATTATGTTATGTAATATATTTTGCGACTAGTGGTAAACAAAAGAAGATTCCTCGAGTGTAAAGTTAGCCGCACAAGTGTAACGAGTGCGGTAACACGTAAGTGGAATCTTCTCTTTTGACCAATAGTCGCACACAATATTTTATTTAAGTACCGCAAAAATATACCTACATATGTGTAAAAACGACAATGAAAAATTAAAGAACCTAAACAATTAAGGGGCAAGGAATTTAAAGCCAATTTTATTTTATATTTTATATGATATCTCTCAGACAGGCTGCAGGGGACTGTTTATTATATCATCTTCAGAGTTCATATTTTGCTCATATCTTATAAAGGATAACTTAGCAGTCAACACAATTAATAATATTAAGTGGAACAATTTGTGGAGACTCTTAAGGATGTTTTATGTATTCGTTCAGTATAATTCCTAATATATCATTAAAATAACCAGTTGGATCTAATCAGGTTTATTTAAATCTTGTTTTAAAATATACAATGAAAACCCAATAACAATACCAAAATTGCAATTATACTATATATAATAATAATAATAATAATAATAATAATAATAATAATAATAATAATAATATTTATTCATCCATAAAACAAATTACAAAACACAATTTGCTTATAACTAGTCAATAAAAAACAAAAATTAGTTAAAAGAAAAACAAGCTTACATTTACATTAAATAATAAAAATATAGGAACTAGAATAAAATGCAATATTTTTAAAAACTATCATTAAAAAATTCACTAATTGAATAGTACATTTTATATATAGACGAGTAGCCAAGTGCATTGAAGTTAACGGCAATCACTTTGAGCAATTATTGTCAAAAGAAAATTTTTTCTTTTATTGAGATTTGTTTTCAGTTTTTATAATATTATATTGATAGTTCAAAATTTTTAACTTAATAATAAATTTATAATAGGTGCTCTAAAAATCTACCATTGTAATCTAAATTATTTGTAATTAAATTCTATTCTATTCTATTCGACTAATATTTAATACAACAATGAGTTTTTAAAACAGATGCATTAAATATTGTAAATGGAAAACTTTCGAAAACAAATCCCCGAATCGACATTTACAAGGTATATCTTTTTTGCGTAAAAATGGTGGGAAAATTGATATTTTTAATAAAAACATAAATAAGAGAAGGCGCGAAAAAGTTACACTCGTTTTTAGGTACCCAGAGCGTCGTAGAGAGCGCCCTCTACAATCTACATCAAAATTATTAACAAATTCAAATTTCTCGACCCAAAAAACCCCAAATCACAAAATTTTATGCAAAAATATTGAAATATATACAAGTTAATTAGGAAAATCGAAAATTAAATATTCACTGGGACACCTTGTATCTCGGTTATTGTCAACTTTTGAACTAAGCTAAGTTTGGTCTAATCGTAATATTTTTAACCAAGGAATCTGCATTTTTATTGTGTACCATTAGTTATGGGACACCCTGTATAAGGCTGCCAGTTCAATTTTGGGTCCAATTTTATGCCTAAAAATTTAATTTTATTACAAGCTGGAATGGATAAATTATTATTAGTGACGTACCTACAGACTGTAATCAATACTTAAATAAAATTTGTTTTATTTACATTTAATATTAGTCCGTTTCCCTGACACCAGGCATTAAAATTAGCTGATACCAAGTTGGTATCAATTTTGGTATCAATTTTGGGACCTTTGTTGTTCATTATTGGTAATACCAACGAACAGTTTCTGGAAAAACATTCCAGTTCTTTATGCTTGAGTACATTCGTCAGCGTACAATATGAATTTTTGATTATTATTAAATAAAGAAGAAATATCATTCATAAATATAATGAACAACAAAGGTCCCAAAATTGAACCCTGTGGAACCCCAAGCGAGACTTTCTTACTACTTTACTGTATATTATTTAAAAATACTATTTGACTTCGGTTTAATAAGTACGAGGAAACCCGCCTAAGTGGTGGACCACGCACACCAACAGATTCAAGCTTTCTAATTAGAAGCTCATGATTGACCGTAGTCTATTATTAAGACCTTCATAAATATAATTTAGGGCATCTGCTATAGCAATATGCGTGGATTTTTTTCCTACGAAAGCCATTTTGATTTTCGACAATTATATTATAACTCTCCAAAAATTGACTCAACCTGTTATCAAACTTTGTTGTAGGTTCAATTTTTTCTTATGAATCTTTCCAGTGGTGGGTCAAGAAAGTTTCTTAAAGAAACTAAGAAAATTGAATGTTTAGACTTTGCTTAATTGACTGGATAGGCTGATGGATCTGTAATTGTTTAGATCATTTTTGCAACCTTTGTTCTAAAATGTTAATGAATTAGAATACTTTAATATTTTTCCATGAATGTTATCAATTCCAGCTGCAGGTTTTTTAGTGGTCTTTTTTATTGCATCTATAATTTCATTGTTGTTACAGGTTGCAGAAAAAAACTTTTAAAATTATAAACAATTTTTTACATTATTTAACTATTGGACTAAATACTAATAAAATGGTTGTTGAAAATTTTGCACATTTCCTTTGGATCACTATGGGTAGTATTATCTACTTTAATTTCAGATTTGGATATATATATATATATATTATACCAATACACAAGTCTACGGTATCATTAAGATCGACTTTTTGTCATAATCCCAAGAGGCAATCTCTTTAAAGCTGTACAGTAGTTTTATAATCTGCTGAAGGAACCAATCTTATATTTAGAAAGTCTACAACAAGACCCAAAATTTATGCCAATACTTTCAAAATACCCAAGCCAAGCCACTAGTCATATTAATAAAAAATGGTTCTAAAGGCATGTTATAACTATTGCATTCCCTGTTAGGTGCCAGCTAAAAAATTCTGACATTGTTGAATTAGCAAAAATCATGAGACTCATTTAATTTAAAATCTCATTGACATCGTATAAAAAGGCAATATACGAGTACACTTTTGATAATATTATTATTTTCAAGCATTACCACTGCCATAACGTCTATAAGTTAGGTTATATTCTTTAAGAATAATTTATTTTCACTCGTATAATTTCTCAAAAATATTAATAATCTTGTGGTAGCCTCAAAAAACGTGTCCATTTTAAGATTGTTGATTGTCCCATTTAAATCTCCCATGTCTGTTATGTGTATGACGTGGTTTTTCAAATAGCGAGTATCTTTTTCAAAACTCTTTATTGACTCCGAATGTTTTCTTTTATAAAGTTGTCCCTGTCCAGAACAAATTGTACAGGTTTTATTAATATGGTGTGCCAATATGAAAATCTTTAACGCATACGCCATTTTTGTAGTTTGAAATGAAGAGAAAAATATTATTAATAGGTGTGTATAAGACATTTTAAAGATGATTTAATTCAAAAAGTTTTCGGTTTACTGAAAGGTTCTTATAATTTTTATTAATATTTACTTAATTATATATGGATATATGCAATTTATTTGATTAATAATCGATGTTTACGTTTATGTAAGAATATTTCAAATATGAAAACAAAAATTGATATAATTTGAATAAGGCCTAGTATCATAAAGAAGAATGTAAGGTTTTTGATACCTATTTCTTGGTGCCTTCTTACAAGGGGTTTTAGATTTTTACCATCGTTGTCTTTAAAGAATTTGGCCAAGAATCCACAATCATTCAGAAGAAACAAGTATTTGTTAACATGGGTATAGAAATGAAAACCTCTTCTCATGTAGAGACTTAGTGGTATTGTTCCTATCTCATCTTTGATAATGTGTAATAAAGGGTATCCATTGTCAGTATAATTGTTTATAATATAGTTGTTATTAGTTGTAGCATACGCCAATGCTGTGTTTTTTTTGTATGCTACATCTTTCATGCATTGCTTGGAGTTATAGCACCCTTCTACTCTTCCTTTAAGCACAGTATTATCAAAGTAATTTTTCAGAGTGGCGTATGCGTAAGGTTGTAAGTTATACTTGATGATTTTAAGTTCAGAGTCTATTTTTTCTGCGTATTTCAAGTTCGACAAGTTACTGGTTAAGGCTGTTAAAAACGCTACGTTAGTGAAGATGTTGAGGACCACTACAAATGACAAAAGCAATCGTAAAGCGTTTAAACGCGGTATATGTACTGGGGCGCCGATGGCTGCTGAATAGATAGTAAAAGCGACTGTTTGGGCGTTAAATGGATGTCTTAAAAAGACGCCTGTAACCCGTATAGCCATACCAACAAGCCCTAGACTTGCTACTAAAAGACAGAGGATTTCTGGGTCCACCATTTGACCCAAGCTCTTTAAATTGGTAGAGACGAGACCATGTGGCACAAACCAAACAAACTTGAGGTTTAATAAAGGGTATGTGTTGTAAAATTTAGCAGTTCTATCGTTTGAAAAAGCTAGACAGGCTAAGAGTAAGTCGAAATTTTTGTTTTCAAACTCTTTGAAAACACCCGTACATGTGCCATTAGAATAGACATTACCATAAGTGTGTTTCGTCTTAAATAAGTGTAGTTTAATTCTCACAAGGTCAGCTATAACCGTAAGAATACTGTACAAAACACCGTTATGGATAAAATAATCATATTTCCCTATACTATTATTTGTTACATTGATATTACAAGGTTCATTTGGCATGTACAATGCCCTGTACATCTTCCGGACTTTATTCTGCACAACTCTAACGTTCTTAGGACAGTTGGAGACAATTGTATCCCACTCATTCCATTGACATCCATTTAAAACGCAGTATGTCCCTTTTATAACCCATATAACATCCTGGGTGATAATAACAGCGTTCACATCCTCCCATCTGATCACATCAGCGATTTTCTCCATTATTCGCCAGTTTTCGTCACTCATAACGACAATCAAAAGTTTAACGTGGTGGTTCCAGTACTCATCTCCATCCTTTAAACCCTTCACTATCCCCACTAAATTTTCCACCGATTTGATGGCTAAAACGTAGTTCAAACTGCACCTAGTTCTCTTTCTGAACTCTTTGGTTTTGTTTAAGTCGGTTACGTAAATCGGCCACGTAAATTCGTCGTGTAAAATGGGCAGAACATGGTTCGCGACAAAATTGTCTTCGTCCAGAATCACTGAGATAGGTTTTACTATAGCTTGATGTATTTCTATGATAAATGTTTTAAGTAGAGTACCGATGCATTCTGTTAGGTCCCACGTAGGTGACGTAAATGAGAAAGATAGTGGAAGGAAAATTAGTAGCATAAAGAAGGAACCCATTGTACATTTATCTTTAGTACTTATTGGAAGAAAAATTATTATTCTTGTGTAGGGTAGATTGATAGATAACATAAATATATTAATTTGATAAAATGTATTTGGTTACGCCTGTTTAATTATTGCCGATCAATTTATTAAACTGAATGAAGAAATAACATAAAATAAAAAATGTCATCCAAAGGTTATTAATTTTGTTTTTATATTTGTTTGGGGCAGTACACGTACTACTCAATCAATTTTTGGACCACCCCCTCTTTTTACACATTAATATAATTATCTTTTTACAAAATAAGCATAAATTAGTTTATCTACTTCCATTGCATTATATTATTTTTTCCGTAAATAATAACAACGGTAATAATAATAATAATAATAATAATAATAATAATAATAATAATAATAATATAGTTTATATTCAAAAATGTACACATAAAATTACAAGAGAGGTTTTATCACATGACCGTAGATGATTCCATGTCTTTCAAACGTATGCTTCCCAACGTGTATAGTGTAGGTGTTCTTGTTTTGATTCAGATTAAATTATTTAAAACTTTTAGCTGATCTTTTGTAGTTTTTGTCTCGATTAGAGTAATTTATTATTTTATTATTGTGGTGCACTGGGGAACACACTTCACAGATAAGGAAGATTTAGCATTTTTTATTAAGCCACAAGTTGTATTAAGTTTTAATTAAGATTAGGTTTTCAAAATACCGGTTTTCTTTAGTTAAATCTTACAGATTTTTTTTAAATTAATCTTGTTCATGACGTTATTCTCTCAATAATTAAAAAGCCTTTTTTAAAATAAACTAAACTGAAAAAAGACAAATATTATGCAGTCGTCCGACTTAGCAATATTTAACTATAAAAGGCTGGGTAAGCAATATTCAAGAACTTTTCAAATATCTTGGTACGAAACCTATAAGTGGTTATGCGAAAGTATTTAGGTATAAACAAAGCTTATTCTGTTGGCCTTGTATTTTATTAGGCCGCGTCAAAAACAATTGGAGTTCAGAGCGTGGGTATTCCGATTGCTTTGATATTTTATTTGTTTTATATGTATATTTTTATCCATCCATATAAATATATTTTTAAGTTCCAGATATATATTTTTAAGTTTTAAAAACGAATTTATGATTTTTGAGTTTTGCAGTTTGGGTTAAGATTGTTTTGATACCTTTGTTTTGTTTTTTTTTTTTAGTTTATTTTTTTTATTTATAATCGTTTACTAGGGCTATCGGCTATTTTAAAAAAGGTCAACGCGTCGCCACAGAAAAAAATATCGTACCTGATATTAATGTCCTACGATCATTAAGTGCAAAATCATTACGATAATGTCCTTTTCATAGTATTAATGCAATCAAGTAATTATGATAATGCTTAAAAAATATGAGTTAATGTATTATTGGATTGTCACAATGTCTGCCTGGTCATTATCCTAGTGCAAGAATTTAATTATTTTTTAGCCAAAATACATTAAGACAATGATATTTTACATTAATACGATGATTATTTACATTAAATCAATAACCTAGAGTACATTACTTAATCATTGCTCAGTGATAAAATTAATGTCAAGACTTAATAGATTAATACTCTAAATTGTATAATTTAATAATCTAAAATTATTACATTAATGCCTATATAGACATCAACTTATGTACCCTTAGCATGAATATAATGCCCTAACATATTAAACAATAAAACAAATCATAACTTTATCGCCAAATACGTTGAGCCAATGTCTAAATTCCTTAATATTATTCCCTGTTGTTTCCCACCACCTAAAAATGCAAGTAAGAAAACAATTTAACAACAGTTTAATATTCCTGTTAATCCTGTTGCGACGTGCTTGCCCGCCCATCCCGATTGTTGTGCGTTTATGTTTATTATTATATGAAATATAAAAAGTGCAGTCCTGTGAACATTCAAGTAAACGAATTATAATTATTATTTTACTTTAAAAGCTAATGTCAAAAAGGTATCGTTTTAACCTTCATTTCCCAGAAGAATGTGTCATGGTCTGGTCATTTATTGAAACCTACTTTTTTAAAATGAAGCATTCTAATATATTTTCCAAAATCCATGTATTATGTAACTTTTTAGAATGTAAGTAAGACAATGTTAAAAAGTTAAGGTTTATTTATGTTTCATAAATTTTTTGTAATAAATATAAGGATTTTAAATTACCAAGGGTTTTTATTATTTTTTTATATTAATCTTTAGTTTCATAATATTTACAAAAAGGACTAAAAATATGTAAAGTTACAGTTCCAGTTTTGCGGTGGCCCGGGCATAAACCCTGTAGAAAATGTTTGGGAACTTCTGTAAAGGGAACTGGCTAAAGAGGACATCACCACATAAGTAATATTAATAGTAATAATTATTAATATATTTTTTTACATATTTCTAGCTCTTTTTGTTAACTGATCAACAAAAAAATTGATTTAATGTTAAAACTTAAGGTAAGTGTAATAATTTATATATATATATATATATACATATATACAGGGTATCTCAAAAGTTAAGGACAGCAGAAAAGGGGTGGATAGAGGATGGGATTCTAAGTCGAATGATCTTTGCCGTTTTTCAATTGTCTAAACGGCACCCAATTTTACCATGTGGCACCCGGTTTTGGGTGCCGTTACGTTTTGAGTGCTTGTCAGCCCTATGTTCATATAAGGGCATAACGAAGCGTCTGGCAAAATTTCGATTGGGTGCCGGATTGACCATAATTCTGAATTTACATACTGATTAGTTCGACCATCCTCCGATGGGGGCGCTGCGGTGCATACAAGTTGGTAAATAGACGCAAAGTGGCACCATACAATTATGTTTGCTCTCTGGCACCATAAATTTGGCAACACCGCTTTCTTTTTCAGAAGTCAACTTATTTTTAACGCTTCGTTTGGCGCGCGAATACATCTTGGCGTGCGGAATTGCAACAAAATACCTTTATTGATATAATATATCATATTATGCTCAACACAACATTTGTTATAAGTAAATTTGTTACTGTTTTATTTATTTATTTTTAAAATATTATTGTGTAGGCAAGAAGTCAAACAAAATATCCCATTTTTAATGTATATTTCTACGACATAAAAATAAAACAATTAATTTAGTTTAAACGATACAAATAATATATAGTAAAATATATTAAATATATTAAATTTTATGTAATTATACAACATTTTTATTGTTTATATTTATTGTTTTATAAATCCTAAATATTTTATTAAAATAAAACTTAAAATATAAAAAATATTAAAAAACATAAGGTACACTCAATCAAAAACGGTCAGTTTGTTTTAGAGATACATATTTGAGAAAAACTTTATTTTTTAATTTATTTTAATCTTAAATATATCGAGAACGAACCAACCGATTTAAAAATGCCAAAATGCAGGCAATTAAAAAGCCTAAATATTGGGGTAACTTTTACCCCCCCTTAATGATAGAAAATATATTTTTTAAATGCCTGCCTAAAATAAAAAATTGACGTGTGCAAACGTTTTTTTAACTTTTTTGTGTAACACCTGAGTAAAATGAGTGAAAACTTTGTATTGACACCATCTATTAATTTATAACAGTTTTTGATAACATATTTTGTAAAAACTAAATACAATAAAAATAAATAATTCTTAACGTTAGTCTGTCTGTGAGTATATAAAATTATCTATAAAAATACAACTTTTATTTGATAAAATAGATAACATAAATAATTATTTAAAATAAACCCATCGGTAATATTATATAATATATTAAATAAAAATTTCGGGAATTTTTATTAAAATATTAAACATTTTATTTGATTATTATTAGGGGTCATTCATTAATTACGTGAGGCAATTTTGGCGATTTTTCGACTCCCCCCTCCCCCTTAATCTCACGTGAGATTTTTTAAAATGCATGGTTTTAATGTAAATAAGTTAATCTGTGATTGATTCCATTAGATTTAAAAAAAAAAACAATTGTTAAAATTGTTTACTTAATTTAACCCAGTTTTCTCGCAATTTTACACTGTTTCATTCGAAAAGAAAAAATTACGTGATATTTGCCGAGACCACCCTTCCCCCAAGTGATATTGGGTGAGGTTTGGCTCGACCCCCTCCCCCCCTAAACATCTTACGTAATTAGTGAATGCCCCCTTGCTTGTTATTTTTAAAGTTTGTTTTGTTCGTATATAATATAATGAGTATATAAGTTTGACTATTTCCCTTGTCTTAATTTCCACCAATCACAAACGCGCAATTTTGAATTAAAAATGGTTTCTAGGTAAAAAGCACCTGTCAGCAGTTTACCCGCGGCAAAACTATATGACAGCACCTGTCAGCAGTTTACCCGCGGCAAAACTTGACAGCTGTTGTCACCAAAAATTGCAATTTATATTTTAATTGTTAACTGTTACTCATGAAATAGTCTTGTGAAATACCATTTGGGCATCTAATTTTTCCTGTGAAAAAAATCGGAAAAAACACAATGCTAAGTAATATTTTTTAACAAAATGCATTCGTGCAGGTGCAAAAATCCTCGTCTTCGACTCGGATTTTTGTTGCCACCAGCACTCATGCTTCTTGTTAAAATATTACTTAGCAACGTGTTTTTTCGATTTTTTTTCGGAAAAATTAGATGCCCTTATGATAATATTCGTAAGCGACAAAACCTAAATTTTACAGGAGAGATTTTTTTTGTGTGGGAGCTTTATTTTTAAAGTTATTTATCTGAAAACTGGTGAGGCATTATTTTATTTTATTATATTACTTACGATAAAACATAGATAGTTAAATAAAATATCATTAAAACCTGAAAAAAAATATTTAAAAACAAAAAGGGCATTTTTACATACAATCGGTTTATTATTATTAATATTATTATTATTATTAATAGTTAAATGTTTAAAAGGGCTGAGCTACTATTGTAGATTTAAAAGTTTAAAACTTTCGCGCTAATAGTTTCGGTCGGTCGGTTTGGGTTTATTTCGTGTTTGATTCGGCATTGC